TCGGCAATAATGCCGCAATGTGGATTCGGTGGAACGGCTTCAGCTGTCCTCTAGCATAGGTACGTTGCCTCTCTACGTTTCTTTTCCCTTTGAAACCCAAGGATCGTGTGATGAGGTAATTTGCGATTGATTCCACGCAGATGGCACTCTCGCCGGAGTCGCTATATCTCGTGTGAACTTGATAGTTAATTTCTTACATATTCTGACCTTCCGAGACATCATTACTGTTATCTACCTTGAAATAGTCATAAGCTGTTATCCGAGGCTAATACCATTGAACAGATCATTTGCCCTGTATCTGTCAGGCAACACATTTGCGTGATTTCTAGTAGTTATCGCTGATCATTATCTTTACTTCAGCTTGAGTATTCTCTAGTCAGTATATTTATATACTATTAGCATATAAAGATTATAAACATACTTCCGCATCATGGACTGGCTGTTCTATTCTCACCGAAGCTGACGCTTTCATACAAAAAGGTGGCGCTAAGCTCATCCCATAAAGATTCAACCTTGATGCTGTTTCTGTTGTCATCAAAGATAACAACACAACACAGCATACCTGCTCCCTCCACTCCATCTTTCTTTACCTTTGAAGGCCAAGCATCTACCTTCCTTACCTTAATCCACCTTCCTTTACTCAAAGGTAGCTGAGTTATTTGGTTATCTTACCGTTTGTGTATTCTGGCTTGACCTACTCTTTGCCCCTGTGCATTAGCTACTTAGTTGGATTTGGAGTATCTAGGTACCTAGGTAGGTAAAAGATCTAGTCAGTCACCCGATCAATCAATTTCGCAGCCGACCAGTCAGTGAGCCATGGTACCGCATCTTCGCAGCCATCATCACCACCACCACCAGCAACCACCACCGCCAATGCCAATCATCAATAAAAATAGAATTGAAAAATAGAATGAGTATAGCGTCTAGAGCAGCTAATTTCACAACAAGGGTCGATCAGCAGGCGCTAGAGCATGGCGACGTTCACCCTCGTTATCCTCCTCATCCCCAAGATTTCAGCCAACTCCAGCTCTCCATTCGTTTCCCAGTCACGGCCTCGTTCCCAGCAGCCGCTGACAACGACGAAGACCAGCAGGAACAGGAGCAGGAGCAGGAGGAGGAGGAGGCAGAACCTTCCACGCTCCAGCATGTCCAGCTGTGCTTCCATGCTGGCTTTCTGCCATCCAGATCTTGTCCAGTTTCTCTTCACATCAAGTCATCTGGCGATATTGTCGCCTGGCACCAGGTTCGACAGTAGGAGCCGATGCCAACTTCGACCTTCACACACCTAGCCCTCCACACTACATCTGCGAACTCGACAAGCCATTGAAGCTGTGGCCCGAAACCACGGATCCCCCCTGGTGGCCCAGCCTACTGCCGCTTGAAGAGCCGTAGTCGAGTGGACAGTGTCGAGAGCAACGTCATCAAAATCACGAGCAACGCCGTCCTTGGCCACCACTAGTAGTAAGAGTTATGTCATTATCGGTGTTATTGCTTGGTTGCGGTGTGTCAGTTTGGGACAGAAGTGTAAGTAGAAGCAAGTCGCTCTCTCTTCATATAGTATAATGGCATACTTCACACTCACAGTCGCAGGAGGCCATCTCTGTTGTCTCAGCTCATACCATAGCTCCAATACATGCCATGATCATGGCAATGACCTATCTACGGCTCCACCTGTTTTCTCTTACCCTCAAACCTCCCGCTAGTAGTGGCGAGCTCTCCGACTATGATTATGACTCCTTCTCTAGCCCTGTATTTGGTTGCGAAGCCCCTCCTTCAATTCTGGCCAACATCACGGCACTTGTCCATCTAAAGTCCAAAATTACCAGCCCGTGCTCTACGCTACTCTCTTACCTTGAGATGTACAAATCTTTCGATCATATTGATCCAACCCTACTCCAAATGTCTCATGATGACCTGGACAGAGCATGTTCCGAGACGAATCAGTATCACACTCAGCCTGTTGTTGTGGCCACAGCTGGAGCAGGACGCCACCCACGACTGGCTACAGCCCTGGGGATAGTCACTCCGTCAAGCTGCTATCACTCTAGCTACAAAGCTTAGAGATATGAGGCACCAGCAAGGACATACTCTAGACTTCGCTTACGACGACGACTACGATGGCGACAGCGACAGTGACACTGATGAAGCACTTCCTCTCATGTCACATCTGGTGACAGTCACACTGGGCGATATGCCGGGCTTGATACGCGAAATTTTTCACTTGGGGGTGGGATCTGGGCGCCTCCCAGGCCGCAAGGCACAACCTCGCCATCTACCATGACACTTTGCTTGCACGTGCATAGGATTGGCATTGAAGGTCGTAGCCTCAGCTTCTCGACAGGAGGTTCTTGTCATAGGAGCTGCTATGCAGTTGACTTTGGGAACACATCTTGTTATTGAAAGCTGGGAATCAGAATTCTGGTCCTTGGCAACAAAGGGAAATAGTAGAAAGTCGGTAGCTAACACTAGCCACATGCTATTACCGAATATCTATTATGGAAGTGTTTGTATGTACGAGGATGAGGGGAGGATGATGGCGATGGCTATCTAATGCCACTCCGCTCGACTGGACTCGAATTGAATTGACTCTGGATGTGCAAATGACACACAAGCACGATGACCCCATTCTTTACTGGACAGGCACCAGAGGGAGGTAGCTACAGCAGCAGTGTTGAAAAACAAAGACACGAACGAAGTTCACTTGAAGCTCCACATAATGCACATACACTTGAAGCTTGTCTTTATCATAGGTACAGGCTGAGCCATGCCATGTGAATGCCACTTGAACCGTGCCACGTGATGTTCCTGCCTCAGTAATATTTGGGTTTTGTTCGCCACCATCACCAAACACCAGACACGAAACAAACCGCTTCGTCTGTGGGCATCTCGACCATCTTGAGACTCACTATTGTCAAATCAAAAACAACCCCCCTTCCCCGGGCCGGGATGCCATCATTGTTTCTGCCTCAGATAAAAAACGGAACGAACGGTCGCATTCACCATGTCACGCGCATATCCCCAACCCCCGAACACCCCGCGAGGGCTTCTTCCTCCTGCTGCTCATCTCAACCGCGTCCGCGATCGCCATCATGATTATCACTCGCTCAGTACTCAGGGACATACAACAGTCATGTCGGTCACTGTGAGAGAAGACGTCGACATCGCTGGCAGTTCTGCCAACGAGGAGGATTGCTCCCCGCCCGCTCAGGGTACGTTCCCATACATCCAGCTCGTCGCGCAAACACTTGCTCGTTCAGATAAATCCCAGACTTCAATATCCCTGACAAGCTCATCTAAGCACTCGAGTCTATCTGTTTGCCCAGCAATCCATTTGTCCACCCACTACATTCTGTCTTCTAGCCTCTATCCTCTCCTCCCCTTCCTTCCTCGGTCGTAGAGTCAGTGAGTGGGAGATCATCTATCAGAAAAATTCATTGATCTGAGTTGATTGTGAAGCCTAGTCCATTGCTGACATTTTTCTTATCAAATGTAGCTTCTCGCGCCTTCTCCTACGACAACCTCCATCGTTCACAGCGACAACCGTAGGACGGCCCGACTGCGACACATGCCGGCGACGTAGTACTCCAAGGAATAGGCTTAGGTCAGACACTACAGTTCGGTCAGTTTGTCAACAGTACAGATACGACAGACACGCGAGTCTCCTTCTTCAAGCTTGCCATGGACGAGTACCGCCAGTCTCAGCGCGAAGTATTTTACCACGCCCACCTCGGCTTTGCCATGCGCGTCGGCTTGAGCGGCGTCTTCTGCGGCATTTTCTGGTTCAGTGGTGTCCGGGAGTTGCTGCATTTGTGGCTTTCACGAAAGTGTACGTCGGTCATTCATTACCCAAGTATATCAAGGCACAACAGCACCAATAACTCGCTCAATTGTGGGAATCCCTAAGCTGATCTGATATCTCACAGAATGAGTTTCTACACATTTCTTATCTCGATACCTGTCAGCTAGTCAGCGTTCTACTGGCTAAGAGTATGCACAAGTAGCTGCGAACTTTCTTGTGTTGCGTGCTGGGAACGACGACAAACTTTCCATGACGGTAGCGATGAATAGCGAATGCAATCGTGATGGATCGATGATTCCAGGGTACAGGAGTGCCTTAGACCTGTCGGCCATTTCGATAATAGATGACAGCACAGACAATCCACTCTTCACAATTCACCTGAGTTCTCACCCATGATTCCCAAGCTTTTTTAGTACGAATAAAGTCAAAAGAAGCAGATAATTGCCATTGATCGCTTGCCATGAGTTGAACTGATGGGGATTCGGCTGCGTGATTCTGGTGATCACAATTAAGCACTATTATAGAGGCATCGTCTATAGTAGACGTGCTATCTAGGATGCAGTTGAGTCGGGTTGGCGTGCCGAGCTGCAGACTCACTCGCATCTCTGACAGTTAAGCTGGTCAAGGATATACTGATGGACCTGAACATAATACCTGTTCACTCACCATGATCAAATGGTTGTTAGTTGACAACACATCCCGTAGAGCCCCCGGATATACCCGTTGATCTCTTTCAAGACTGGCCAGAATTTCATATTCTGACCTTCCGAGACGTCCTTGCTGTTATCTGTCCTGTAACAATCATAGAATGACCTCTCAGGCCGACACTACTAAACAGATCATATGGCCTGCATATGTCAGGCAACTCATTTGCGTGATTTTGCATGAATGATTGCTGGGCATAATCTTTCCTTCAGCTCGGGCGTTCTCCGGTTGGCGCAACTGTGCACTATTGGCGTACGTAGCAGCCATTGAAGAACCTCACTGCATGGGAAGTCTGTCTAAATGGTGTCTCGTTGATAAGAGGATTGTATCCGTTGAGACTAAGTAAGACCATGACCATGTCACAAAGCTCAGCTCACGGCAATGCTGTTCGCTCATTTTCTCGCTTTTACTTGTTTATTCTGTGATCGAGTGTCCATGTACTACAATCCTTGTGCAAGAACTCTTCGTCACCCGAAACTGTTGAGCGATTCGATCATTATGCTTTCCCTTTTCTCTTCAGCTCCTCCTCCTCCTCTGCTTGGATTTGGGCGTCGATCTTGGCGCCCCTCGACGGCTCATTGCCGTGGTCTTTCGCAGGTAAGGTTGGGTCCTTCTTGGAAAGCGCGCTCTCGCCAGTGTCCTCGGGTTCAGTCTTGCTCTATCCGGGATTAGTTTCCGCCGCCCGTTACTTGATTGTTGAGAAAACGAACCTCTTCAGCTACTAGCCGGTTGGCAATGGTTCTCTGGTCCTCTGCGACCAAGTCAGTGGACGTCCTATCATGCTAAAGAATTGGTGGAGGGCGTACTGGAGTCATTGGCCAAATGAGAGTTAGGTTGACCCTCGTCAAAGCGGTCGGCCGTCTCGATCTCTGAGTTCTTGACGTTCCTCTGATCACCAGCCTCATAAACACCGGAGGTTCCTACACTCGAATTACCCGACATGTTGACTTCTTGGTTTCTGTTGGGAAAAAGTGTGGTCTTGTTTGTGTAGTTGAATAATGATGGCAGAGGGATTGAGGAAGAATCGTATTGAGCTCTCCTAATGATATATAGCTACTTCCGTGCTCGAAAGTCTCCACTTTACGCCATCCGACGTCATGATTATTTCTAAAATGCTACAGGCGTTAGCACTCTCCATGCCATAACATACAGCGTAAGGCTGACGGAAGCTGAGGCGTTGAGTTGGGCGAATGTGGAGGGCTGCTACGTCATAGATACGACTATTGTGTACGGATCATCAGGTACAGTGCTTCGCAGCATACTGTAGAACTACTCTGGTGCTTCCCTGTGAGTAAATCACAAAGTCTGAGCACAAATATTTTCAGTGAAGTTAGAAGTAGGAGCTGGCATTCATGTCAAGAGCAAAGACATTAACCATGAGCCCGTAATATGACATATATGGCATCTATATCTTTGATGCGCGTCACATGCGCGCCCCTGCTCAATTCAGCCGTAAGTTTAGCTCTACCAGAGTTCCAGGAGGCGTTTGGTGGCGCGTTCTAGCCTCGCTGCGTCCCGCCAAAGCGCCATTGGACAATCTCTACTGCAACCCCACCATCTCTCCAAGGCTTACCTGACCCTGCCAAAAATCTTCAAATCTGCGAAGCTCCCCGTCATCACATCTACGCCTTACTGCTCACCACATTAGCGAACTCTGCAGTTCGCAACCTTCCTCGGAAGATGGCATCGTCGTTGACGTTTTCGCGATCGACCTTTTCTAAGCTCTCCCCACATCCATTCCTCCTCGCGAACCTCCAGCCTGCGACCCCAGATGTCCCATCAGCACGAACAAATGGCCGTGCCCCGGACCAGGCGCGATCTCCTAATATCAATACATCGTCATTGTCGCACGCGCATGGGAGTGCTGTAGTCAGGACAGGAGACACAACGGTTATCTGTGGAGTGAGGGGCGAGATTCTGCCCGTGACGAGCATACCCAATTACAGACCTAGATCGAAACTTGAGCTCTCAACAACACAGGATGTGAGGCGAGAAGGTGCGAAGGAGCTCAAGGACTACGACTTGCTCGTGCCGAATGTGGAGCTGGCAACTGGAAGTGCTCCTGAATTCCTACCGGGAGTGCCTCCCACGACTCTCGCACAAACATTGAGCACGAAGGTGTTCTCTCTTTTGCACACATCTCGGCTAGTGGATGCCCAGGATCTACGGATATGGTATAAGCAACCCAGTTTACAGGAGGACGACCGCATGGACGAGGATGGCAATGACGACGAGGACGCGGATGACGAGCAATCAGAGCTCAAGGCATATTGGACGCTCTACATCGATGTGCTATTCATTTCCTTTGACGGCAACCCTTTCGATGCGGCCTGGGCTGCAATTGTCGCCGCCCTACGAGACACAAAATTGCCTCGAGCTTGGTGGGATGCGGATCGGGAGATAGTCATATGTTCTCGTAGTGAAGAAATGCCTCTAAACATCAGCGGGCTACCCGTCGCGTGCAGCGCGGCCATCTTCACCGAAAAGGAAGCCGAGAAAGCTTCGCAGGGCAAGCATTGGGTGCTCGTTGACCCGGACAGACTGGAAGAAAGCCTTTGTGATGAGGTTATCACCATGGTGGTTGACAAAAGTGGTGGACAAACAAGAATACGAAACTTGTCTAAGAGTGGAGGCACCATTATCGGCCCACAGTTGTTGAGGGATTTCACCAACCTAGCTGGAGCCCGATGGGAGGAATTTCGCAAGGCCATACAATGAGAGTGTGGATGAACAGCAACGTAATATGATACCCCAGTCGAAAACGGGTTTCCATCACGGACATGAGACCCATTTAGTGAAAAGACTAATAACTGCCGGTCATTGTGCATCTTAATATGGCAAAGGATCTGTCGGCTACCTGTTTCCCGCGTCGATATCAATTGCCAACTACTTTATTCAGTGCACCCTCCAGTGCGAAGTTTCCCGGTCACCAATCGGCAGCCTACCGAAAAGTACTATTGATCGGGAAACCAGGTTCCAGATCACGGCTTCCTAATATCGTCAGCACTTGATACCCCCTCAAATTCCTATAGGGATCATCCTGCCGCATATTGGAGCTTGTCCCGGGCATTGATAATGCTTCCCCACTCCGACTCGAGTAGCCTCGAAATGTTAAAAATCGCGGACTTTCGACCGGCACGAACTTCTTTCTCGGTCCTAGCGGGACCCGAGTGACCGGTTGATAAGGTGCCGCTGCCGTAGGCAGAGAGAACACCCCGCACGCAACACCACTTACACCGCTGCGATAAGCAGCACAGCGTCGACAACTTCGGTACACTCCGCGAACAAAAGTCGGGATTTTGGTGACCGATGCAAGTTGATAATGCCAACCTGGTCGGTGTCTGTGCGCAAATATTGGAATTGACCTGCAGCCGTCCCTGCAGATGATGCCATGCTGGAGTCTGTGCGAAGTTCGAGGGTTGGGTGAATGACCCGAGATAACGGCACATCCATAACCATTCAGAATGACTTCCTCGAGAGCCCCCAGAACGGGGTTTAGGGTGAGCTATATAAGGCCTCTCATGACCTGAAATCGATTCCCAGGATTCTGCTTCTTTGATTTGGTCTTTGCTTTGGATCGTGAAGCACGTCGTGACAAGCCCCTGGGTCAGCCTCATACTTGGCAAGATGATTAAGTCAAAGCTTATTCTTGCGGCTCTCGCCGCCGTTGTGGTCGCTGCCCCCGCCCCGGCATCCATACATGAGCCTCTCTTCATTCTGTCTAAAAGGGACACTTCGGAGTCTTACAATGCCAGCCTCCCAAATATCACCATCTACGCCACCGGTGGTACCATAGCTGGTAGCGCAAGTTCTTCTGACCAGACTACTGGTTACCAAGCCGGCGCTCTCGGCGTTGACATCTTGATCGATGCAGTCCCAGAGATCAAGAATGTGTCCAATGTAAAGGGCGTCCAAGTGGCGAATGTCGCAAGTGAACTGATTACACCTGAGATCCTGTTAAACATCTCTCAGCATGTTCAGGCTGAGCTTGATAGCCCATACTGCCAAGGTGTTGTAATCACACATGGCACCGACAGTCTCGAAGAGTCTGCCTTCTTCCTGGACCTGACTGTGCGCACCGAGAAGCCAATTGTCTTTGTCGGTGCAATGCGACCTGCGACGGCTATCAGCGCTGATGGACCCATCAACCTGTTGGAGGCAGTCACTTTAGCGGGCAGTCCGAAGGCCAAAGGTCGTGGCACGATGATCGTTCTTAATGATCGCATTTCCAGCGCATGGTATACCACCAAGACCAATGCCAACGCGCTGGACACGTTCAAGGCGTATGAGATGGGATTTCTCGGCTTCTTCATCGACATCAAGCCCATCTTCTACTATGCCCCTGCGCTGCCTATCGGCAAGCAGTATTTTGACGTCACTGGTCTTACTGAGCTGCCGCAAGTGGATATCCTCTACGGCTACCAGGCTCTCAATCCAGCGATTGCTACCGCAGCGGTTGAAACCGGTGCCAAAGGTCTCGTACTCGCCGGAATGGGTGCTGGAGGTTGGACATCGGATGGCAGCGATGCCATTGTCGACCTCATCATCAA